TGGACAACGTTACTAACGATTTTGATCCAGTGGCCAACGGAGTAGGACGGTTTAAAGTTGAGTGGCCAGTAGGATAAGTTTTAAAGGTTAGTGGGTAAACCGTGACATGTATGAAAGTTAGGCTAATGAAACAATTAACTCGAGATAATGCTTGCTCATATCAAGTAATTTTAAAATGGATAAATTTAGTCAAACGTCACGTACCTTTAAAGTCATTTGTACTTTTGTCCCTAGTTATTTTTTTTTTAACAATTATTTTTTTCAACCTCCTAAATTTGGTAACATTTCATCAATTTTTCCATTAAGTCAATCAATTTGATTAGGACATCTAAAAATTAAAAATAAAAAAAAAATTATCATTCTATTATATTTAATTAAAATATTAAATAAATAAATATTTCTTAAATAACCAAAAAATCATCTTCTCCACAACACCACCAATGCGACTATAATACCCTCTAATGTTAGTAGAACAAAAAGAGATTTCTCTTCTCAATTCGCTTGAAAATCAAGGAGGAAAGAAATCTCCTTTGGTTTTGTTGGTGACAACAACAGCCTAATAGTAACGAGGGCGGTGGTTGGTTGGTGGTGGTGGTGGTGGTTGATGAGTGTTCTACACTCATGATATTTATGTCACTTAATTCATTATTTTGTTATCTTTGAGAGAGTTTTAAGGCGTTTTAATTTGTGTTTGATGTTATGATATAGATTAATGAAATTGAAATAAATAAGTTTTTGATTTTTTGGACTCTTTTTTTGGCCCAATACAACTCAAACCCTTCCAATATTTGATGATGATATAAATAAAACCTAAAGACCACTTTTGAGGAGAATTCAACACACAATTGAAGGAGGCAAAGTGGGCATAATTCAAGAAATAAAAGGGAGGTAAGAACAATATCAAGGAAAAATATTGAAGATCTATTCAAAAACTAGTTTTTCCTATTCTCTTCCTTATGTTGTTTATTCTGAATTATATAGATTTCATGTTTCTCATCATAGACTAAATTATTTTTCTAGAGTTTGATTGTAACCAAAACTTGAGAGTATG